AAAAGGGAATGAAGTATGATGAGAATTTTGAATACTATATCATATTATTTCAAAGGAAGTTTGGTTCTTTTTTAAATACAAAATTCCTATTTAATCCAATTTTAAAAGAAGAACTTTCAAATGATTGAGCTGTCATACTCATGATCACAGAGAACTAAAAAAAAGCCCAGTATTATGTAATTTATACGTGAATGAAAAATGAACACCAAATTCTCTGAAAACTAAGGCATCTTCTGTTGAGAGTGCCAATAAAACAATTTGAGAAAATGTGAACAAAACATATTTTAAGTTCTTAATAAGGCATGCAATGATCTATAAACCTTCCACTTCTATTACAGTACTGTAATTAGAAAACAAAGGACAGGTATCATTAACTTATCCTTATCCAAAATATCTATCACTCTTACAAAAGCACAAACTGCATTTTGATTTGTAAAACTGACAACCCATGTAAAGTATGCACATATTTTACAATGAAGAAACACCTACAATGAAGTTGTTTATTTACTGTAAATAACAAACACCATTGGGGTAAAAGAGGTAGTTATACTTGGAAAGCTTCTTAAGTGAAAAAAAAAAGTGCCAACTAAACCAATACATACAGACTATAACAGCAGTCACAACATTATGTGCTTTACTTCATAGCTCTATTACCATTTGTTTGGAAGTTATGAAATTTTGCAAATAAGGTTTTGAAGACAGCATTTATGTTATGCTGTATAACTGAAGTTGTATTGATCTTGTACGAGTTCAAATTAAACAACCTAAGCTTGAAATAAAACTGGTTTGGATTTCCATTAAAGTGAAATAACTACTGATACTATATGACAAGTAACAAATATGTGGTTAGGTAGCCTAGTGACTGTTAAACATCTTAATGAACACTTGTAACCAATATTTAACTGTTTATCACAACATACAATTATTTTTAATGATACCTTCCTACGACCACCACATAAATTTTAAGGATAAAATTATACCTAAGACATTCATGTTGGTGGAAGACAATTTCAACATCATCTTGAAACATGCATTCATGAAGAATTAATTTTTCGTAAGTACGGATATAGTCATAAAAAGGAATAAAAGTTCTCTCAAATGTATATGTAAATACCATACATTATTATTATTATACAGCAACACAAAGCCACCTGAACACCTATCATCCTGGTGATATACATGACTAACTGGCTTCAAATGTTGCTTTTTTCTCTCCCCCCCCAAGATTAATTTTAATATTTTGAATTATTAATTTCAATTACTGATTTGTAGCAAATACAAAATAATCAGTAACTACTTGGTTATTAGCGTGATGATGACAAAACCTTGTCGAAACGTTGTACATTTACTGATATGTTAAACTTATATTAAAGTTTTTCTTCATTACCCATTCAAGCTGTCTCCAACCATTACTAGTCTCAAAGTGGGTTCCTCGTCATCGAATTTAAAATTAAAACTTCGTTCTTAGTTGACTTCATGAAAGACTTGTTTGTTAACTTGATGCAAAACATGAATACTGTTGTACAATGAAGAAACATTTCTCGGCATTCTTAATCTCATACATATAGTTCATTCATTACAACTTACATAATTAAACTTTGATTTAATGTTTGCATCATATGGGTATGCTTTAAATGGATATGTTACACAAGGTACATGAGTATATTCTTAATTGAACCTCATTAATTAGAAACCTATCTTCTGTTTCATTAACTAATCTCCCTAGTAATTATGCAAAATTTATTTTCTCCTTATCTTTCACTATGTTCAAAATACTTTGAAAGAGGATAACCAGTTTTAATAAAAAATAAACAAAATACAAATTTTATGAGAAATCTTAAGTTGTTTGTAAATGAGATGTGTGCTTAATATTCTAGTCAGCACTTGATTTCAAGATAGATTTTGTTAAATTATAAGTGAAAAAAAAAGCACCATGCACTATATAATTTGTTATTTATGTACATGCCAAAATTCAACATTTCATAAGTGTTTTAAGTACACAGCTAAAGAATTTCTTTGATACCCAAATCTGAATGCCCAGTTTGCTGAATTGTTTAGAAATTAGTAATGACAGGCTATTTCTGTCCTGACACAATTAAGTTCTAATTTATGAAAATATGAAATACCATTAGGATAGACAGTCATGCCCAATTAAGAACTAACAAAGAAATTTATAAATTTTAGATCTTAAAATCGAGCATCCGTTCATTCTAATTGTACCTTACATTAACAAAATGTTCTGTACAAAATTATTTTATTTTTAGTAATCCTACAAGTTAAATGCAAGGAATAAGTGTTTGTCTCACATGACACATGTGAGAACATTTTAGAATCTGTACCTTGCAAATAATGTTATGTGCTAATTACCAGGCAAATGGTACCACAAATATCCGTTTCAATTATTTTAAGTATTTCTGTGCTTCTAATAACTTTAGATCTGACAAAACCTGACACACAGTCATTTACTTATCTCTGGTAATATTCAAGTTTTAACTTTTAACTGAGTTACACAATTAGTGAGCAAAGATTTGATCATAATCATTACCATACATCTTATAATGCTATTTGAAGCTTAAACCAAAATAAATATTTTCAAACAAAACAAATTAAAAAGTTAATGACGAGTAGAAATTATCTATGATATTCTAATGAAAAATGATGTTAACTTATTTAAAATAAAAGTAAAATATCACAGCAAATAAGTTATTCTAAGAGTAAACCTTTTTATAACTCAGTCTTATACACCAATATACATGAAAAATTTGGATCTGTTACAAGCACAAAATAGTATATCCAGAAAAAAAAATCAATTATATAGTTTAATAAGCACTATATTATATTACAAATATAAAACATGCCTGGTTTAGGCAAAGTTAATCACACTTTTCTCAATGTGCAAGAAAAAAATAACACATTATAGAAACTAGATACATGTATATATATATATTAACATCTACAAGTAACTATACCAGGCCATATTTTCTTTCCTACACTGTGACATATTTTTCATGATGATACAGTTATCATATATCCAATGGTTGCCTCAGATCTCTGCAAGCAGAATTAAAACAGGCATAGCTGTGTAAAAAAAAGTTGCATGGGTAATAAAGCTTACAGTGAACTACTTTAACTTTTAAGTGTTGGAAAATTCATAATTAATCTTTCCCAGTTAAAACAGTTATTAATACAGCTTATTAGAAAATAAGATAACTGTCTAATCCAAAG